GAGTTCAAGAGTTAAAATGAATAGAGGTAAATATTGTTATTGATAATACATGGAAGGAAGTGCAATCATTGTAATGATGTCAAGTGTAAGATTTGTTGAATCTAGAACTGATGATCTGTTATGTAAACCTTCACTCAATTTACAATAAAATGTGTGGATTTTCTTTTTTTAAAGAACAGTGTAAAGGAATAACCATATAGATGTTATGTAGACTCATCTTTTATTAATATCTTTTATCTTTCACAATACTATTTTCCTGTCTTTATCTTATCTGACAGTTCATTTGACTTTTACATCAAAATACTTTCACTATGCATTTTCTAATATTAATAATATTTCTTTTCTACAGAATCATAGGAGGACATAGGGATAACAGGGGAATGAAAAAGTAGCTGAGATACTGTGATGTTACAGTCTGAGGAATAATGTTGACATGATGGTCTTATTAAGTGTCCTTGAGTCATTTTTCTGAGTCATAGCGAATCTGTATAAGATTTCTGAAGAATGGCTTTTGGGTTTGAATAGCTGATCTTTTGGTTTGCATTCTAGTGCTTATCCTGCAGTACCACACTAGTTTTCCTTATGTTCCCACACAGCCCAAGATTTTAATGTGTAGAGAAAAAACAAAGGAACTTATTTCTAAAATTCCTTATTTCACAGTTTCTTGGAAGACAGATCCTACACTCAACGTTTTCTTCAGAGCCCCTGTGACATCCTTATTCCTAAAACTATAGATTAAAGGGTTTAGCACAGGAGTAAGGATAGTGTAAAAGAAAGATACTACCATGTCCTTTTCTGGGGTGTGGTAGGAGCTGGGTATCATATAAGTGTAGATGGCAGCTCCATAGAATAGGATGACCACAGTCATATGGGAGGAACAGGTGGCGAAGGCCTTCTTCCTGCCCTCTGTAGAGTTCATCCTGTGGATGGTGAGAAGAATAAAAGAATAGGAGCTTGAAATAACTGTCACAGGAATGAGGATCATGAGGACACAGCACAGGTACATAAGTGTCTCAATGAGTGAGGTGTCAGAGCAGGAGAGCTTCATTATAGCAGGTACCTCACAGAAGAAGTGATGGATTTCTCTGGATCCGCAAATAGGAAAGGTCATTGTGATCGGAGTGAGCATGAAACCATCCACTGAGCCCAAGAACCAACAGCCAGATGCCAGGATGAAACATATCCTATGGTTCATGAGAACAGGGTAGCGGAGTGGATGGCAGATAGCCATGTACCGGTCATAGGCCATGGCAGCTAGAAGGAAAAATTCAGATCCTCCTAGTGTCAAGTAGAGGAACATCTGTATCCCACATTCAGGAACTGAGATATTTTTGACACCCCTGACCTGGTCCATGAGCATCTTGGGAACAGTGACAGAAATGTACATCACATCCATGAGAGACAACTGGCTAATGAAAAAGTACATGGGAGTGTGAAGGTGGACATTAGAATATAT